TTGCATCAAAATTTTCCTCCAAAACTTCGGAAAAACAGAAACATCATCATTTCCTAGGTGACCTCCAGCCACTGCACACTAATCGCTGATAGTGTTCAATGGCTCAGCCAGTCAGATTACAGCATTTGCATTAGTATACTAGTAGAATTCTACTAATTTAGAATAGTAATGTGAGTCATGAAGACATAGCAGAGGTTCCAGCATGTTCAAGGTGTTTAGTTGGCTGTCCAGCAGTGCTAAAAGTAAAAACAGCAGTTTAAAAAAATTGCATGTAAGAGAGGGATTTAGGAGAGAGGGCCTGGCTGTCAGATTGACTCTTGGCCATCTTTATGTAGTGGATAGAGCTAATTAGTATCACCCAACTAGTGGACTAATGCAAATCTTGCGTTTTAATTGGCTACGCTACTAGAGGACTATTAGTAATAGTCCTCAAGTAGCAAAATTAGTGCAATCGAGGGTGACGCTGTCTTTCATTTTATTCCCAAATAAATATTTCTTCAACCTGCATTTGCTAACTTTATTGTTGCCTTTTCTGTGCGACTAGTTGGGTGATACTAAAACAGTTAGACCCTTCGCCCTCAAGGGCTATGGGTCAATAGCCCATGAGACAAAGCCGAATGGGCTATTGACCCATAGCCCTTGCGGGCTACAGGTCTAATTGTTAATTAGCTACCACACCAATTGCTCAACCAAAACTAAATATATACATAAAATCCAGCACAAAATAAAATATAAACCTGTTTAATTTTGAAAATCCTTAAAGAGTCCTTAAACAGAGTTAGGGACTTAACTAAAACCAGCTGCAACAGAAGGTCATTCCAGTCTCTGGCAGTTCTTAGAAAGAACAAAAACTCTAAAACTTCTATTGTGCTATTGAAATATCTTGCCTTGGATTTTCCCAGGAGTAAATTTGATTGTCTTGATGTAGTGTCGGCCAAAACAGTACATGTGGATGATCTCTTCTGTTCATTAATTTCATTCTCCATTTGTAACATGTCACATTTTCCTGTGACAAGGTTCTCCAAGCATTCTTTTCATTCTTGGTAAAGGGATTTGGTGAAATGGCATTGCATGAAACAGTTTTAAACTCTCTATTACTTGAAAATTAATCTTTGGTTCCAACTATACTGTCTATATCATTTCTGAGGGTGCACAGTGGCCTAATGGTTAGTTTGCAGTTCAGGTTAGAGCCTTGGTCGGGGTCAACGTGTTGTGTTCATGGGCAAAGCAGTATTCTTTAACTACCTCTCACCACCCAGGTGTTTAAATGGGTACTGGCAAATTCATTGCTAGGGGTGNCCCCCCCCCTCCCCCACTGATGAGCATTTCATCCAGGGGGAGTAAGATCTAGTTGCTTCATGCTATGTGTGTGGAAAATTTCGTAAGTGTTGGCCTGATAACCAATTGGGCTCAAACACAGACTTAACTGTTATAACATTTCTGATCAGGAGTATTGACAATAACTGTCAAAACTGACTACTCAGAAGGCATACTGAAATTTGGTGTACCAGAATAAGTTTTGGTAAAAAAAAAAGAAAAAAGAAAAATC